TAGGTTGATCTACTTCGATTCCGGTGAAAAGGTACTAAGCTTTCGTCCGTCATACGACGAACATCATCAGAGCGAGGTAACATCGTCACAACAAAATTCAAGCTAACGAGTCAAGAAAACTCCGTCCGTCATATGACGGAAGAAAGCTTAGCACCTTTTCACCGGAATCGGAGGAGATTGCCTCGGAAACAGCGTCAGCATGAATGTTCCAGTAAATCCAATCGACAGCTGGTGAAGAGGAATCCGCCGTCATCTCCTGGTGGAACGGACCATCGAAACTCTTCACCCAACACTTCCACTCGAAATGGAATTAAGCTCAACAATTATGAAACAAGAGATTCCTCGAATCCAAACTTTTCTTCGTATATAAACGATACTCTTCCTGGATATTTAGGTCGTTTTCTCCAACGGGACACTCAAGAAGAAACTATTTAGAAAGAAATCGCACTCGGAAATAATCCTTCATTTCCTGTCTCATCACAGCTACAGGCCGAAGCTCGGACTAATAAGGAGTAGGACCATCAGAAGCTTAAGACAAACGGACACTTAGTTCTGGAATGAGGAGTTGTACAAACTGGCTCGGATTTGCCTTAGTGACGTGTATCCCAGAGAATTTACAGAAAGAAGTTTATGTTTCATAAAGAGCAGATTTCAACTCGGATCTTATCAAAATATGACCAAGAATCGGGAGGGCGACCAAAAGTGGCTATGCCTTCCCTCACTGAGTCAAAGATTGCGACCATTACTAGAACAATAGAATATCAACATGATAACAAAGGAGAAGACAACACTTTTGATCAGTCCGCCGACGCAACATGAGAAGGTTGACAAACTGGATTGCTCGGGAGTTTATCTCATCAAATGCGCCGACTGTGAGCAAAAGTAGATTGGTGAAACAGGAAGAAAAGTTTGCCCACGAATCAAGGAGCATCAAAGACTCTGTATAAACTTGGATACAGATAGATTTGAAATAGTGTAACACATTGCACGGAGGAGACAGGAGATGGACTGTAAATCGACTGGAATACTGGCTGCATATGGTGAAAATGTAAGATACGTGAAGCTGTCGATATCCTGACTGAAAGAAATATAATCAACAAGAGACTTTAAGAAGGCAGGATTTATGGAAAACTTTGCATACTGCCTAAACAAAGTCGGA